TTCTTTCCTGTAGTTCCAAAATTTTCTGATTAATCCCAGAAAATGCCGGAACTGGGCAACTTTGTAGGGATGAATCACTCAAAGTTTTTAAGCGTTCAATGCTTTTTCTTCTCTCGCCTTTTCTTGTTCCTCAGTTAAACATTGGGAATTTAGGATACTGGAAAGCTCAAAAAGTCATAGATTTGAATTTATGACATTATCATAAGCTGTAAGACGTAGCCTCAAGCCTCTTTTTGGGAAATTAGGTTTTTGGGAGGAACTGTCTCTGGAAACTTCTGCATTGAAATTAGGTTAGGTATCAGTTGACTGTTCTCATTACCTTTTTGCTGTTCTTCGACAATCGTTAGATCTTTCTGAAACTCTAGCCGAACATCCAAAACCCGTCTTCACCTGGGCGTGTCTTTCCACCTCATGTAGCGAGCTCTGGCAAAGATAACAGACATCCTAAACGTTCCTTTCGCACTGTTTCGGCATGATCTTTGAATTATTGAGGGAGAGAGCCGCCGTGAGGTGGTAAATTGTGGCAACGAGGCGGACGTAGGTCCCATTATCGTCTTGGAAGCCTAGCATTACCCCCTCCCCCTCCCGTCACAAAGATAGCGATTACTTCGAGCTGATGTGGGGGGTTTTGACTTGAGTGAGATGTTCGAGTTGTCTCTGCTCCCGTCGCCGTTCGTGGCTTCCATTCGTTATTGCTGACGGCTGCACAGCTCTCGTAACGGCCTGTTCGCTGATCGGTCGTCGTTCGTTCGCGCTCGTTGGTGGCTCGCGGTTGCCGCGGACCTTATGCGGTCAAAGAATGCTCGAATATTGCGTCGACGTAAAGGTTCACGTTCTGGAGTGAAAGGTACATCAATCGCATCAGCACGGAATTCTTCCGGAAATTGGCAGTAAGTGGGCTTCATAACCTTTGGTTTTTTTATGATTTTTTTGAGGGGAGGGAGCGGATTAAGGAAGGGGTTCAAGGGTTTTCTCGTATTTACCATCCGTACCCACAATAATTTCTTCAAAATCATTTTTTTTTTGTGCAGGTAAAGCCCAGACTTGTGGTCTTTCAACATTTTTGGATTCTTTCTCTCATTCTCCGTTACCTATGTCCAAGCCTTTTTGGCTTTCTTCCTAATTTCACCGCCTGACCCTGAGAGTTCCTCATTCCAAGCTTCTTCCCAAAGTTTCTCATTTCCTCATAGTCTTGTGAACGTATCCCGTCCTTCTGGAACTTTCTCGAAATTTGAGGAAAAGTCTAGGAAAATCTTTGCATGTCATTTGGTTGCTTTTCTCTGCATTTTGGTTCTCAGA